CACAGCTGCACCTGGGGGCAGGGCTGGGGGCGGGGGGCTTCACAGTGGGCCTCCAACTATTCCAAAGTTCTGAGGCCTAAATAACATACGGTAGGAATTCGGGGGCGTCTAACATATGTTTCTGTCCTTGGTAGACCAAGTTGCCCGGGGAAAAAAAATCGTCTGAATTCTGTAACATGATGAATCCTTATGGGAAACTCCACCTTTCTTTCTATCACCCTGGAGACATTTACAAAGACTGACAAAGTGCGAATGTTTTCCGGAACCCAGCAATGAATATCACCTATTCTAAACCAAAGTAAACATCCGAGAGATTGTGGTTTTAAAAGCCCATGTGAAAATTGGAAATAACGGTGGTGGAGAGGTGTAATGGTGGCGGGATTGCTGTTGGAATAAGGGTGTAATAAATCTCTGTGAACAACTTTATAAAAATAAAATAAAATTTCAAAAAAGTCCAGGTTATTCATAGTAGTCCTCCTTATATTATCTGAGAAGTAGAAAAAAACCCAAGTATCTATTAAATGATGAACTAATCCATTCATACAATGAACTAATCACTTCCATGCAACAGAGAATTAAGTGAGCAATCAAAGGGAATGATCACTCTCCCCCACGCACCGGGGAAGCTCGTTCCACTAAGTAAAGAAGTCAGTGATAAAAGACCACTCACTGCATGGCTCCATTTACAGAAAGCATCCAGAAAGGGCAAATCTATAGAGAAAGTCCACTCATGGGTACCTCAGCTTGAGAGTGAGAGGTCGGAGACGAGAAAGAGAAGGGAGCGACTCCTGGGGGTGGGTGGCTGTGGTTTCTCCTGGAATGATAAACATGGGCTTAAATTGATCATGGTGGTGAATGCATAACTGCAAATGGACTGCAAGTGGACACCCGACTGTGTGAATGGCATCTCAATAAAGGTGTTTGGGGGAAAAGGCAAGCCCATGAGAAACCACTGCTCTCAATAATAACTGGACAAAACACCGGAACAATACTACAAAAAAACTACAAAGGGGTGCAATGCCACCAATTGGCCAACCTGTACCTGCGAGGCGAGTGCATCAGCAGCTTGATGGTGCCTTCAGGCTTTTTGATACCCCAAAATTGCCGCTGTGCCTCTGATCGGGCCCCAACAACCTGGGGCCAAGTTTCCCGAGAAATTAAATGGCTAAAAATTAGGTATGTGCGAGCCACACTCACAAACCACCTCCTGTTTAGCCAAACAAGCTCATTTATCGGTTCTGCTTTAGAGATCTATAAATAAAGGGATCAAAAGCTGCAGTTAATCTTGAACCTGTGCAGGGCTAAACAGATCAGGATAAATTGGGGCGGGGGTCAGCCTTGTGCCCACCCAAGTAGAGGCCCCGGCAGCCACTTGCTCCCACAATCCAAAATCACTGCCATATCCCAGGCTGGACTCCACCATCTGGGAAAGGACCCCACCAAGATATCAACCTGTTTAAAATTCAGGTATGTGGGTTTTGTGACTGAAATCTCCAGGATTTCTAGGAGTTGGGGTAGGCTACCTCTCCCCACTTCCCAATACACATGGAGCACTGGCAGTCACCCCCCCACGAACCAACTCCAGCACCACCCTGTAAGCTCTACTACCTGTTGTGTTTCAGAGACCCATAAACAAATCTTGAAAGAGATCAAAAGCCACAGTTAAGCTTGGACCCAAGTGTGGCTGAACAGACTGGGGTAAATCAGAGTGGGGGGGGGGACGGGTCAGCCTGGAGCCTGACCAAAGAGAGCCCCCAGCAGCTACCTGCTTCTACAACCCAAAATCGCTGCCATGCTCCAGCCTGACTCCACCATCTTGGGACGGACCTCACCAAGAAATATTCTGCTGAAAATTCAGATATGCAGGTTTTGTGACTGAAATCTCCAGGCATTCCCAGGGTCGGGATGGGCTACCTCCTCCCTCACCTCCCTGTACCTCCGGAAGCCTCAGCAGTCAGGTCCACACTCCAAAGCTGCCACCCGGTTAAAAAAGCTCTTCCAGCCTTACCTTCCTAATAAAAAGACGGAATGCCCTGAAGAAACACAATGATGTCTTAGTACCTGTATTGCAAACCATAATGCACAAAAGGAGAGGAAGAGAGAGGGAGAGAGAGGGAGAGAGGGAGAGAGGGAGAGAGAAGGGGTGCTTCCCATAGAGGGAGGCTGGGGAGGGTGTTGGGCGACAGTGGGAAGGAGACAGGGGTGGGGACACTGGTGGTGAGAGGTGTGCACCGGTGGAGGGATGAGTATTGGAGCACTGCGCGACTGAAACTCAATCGTGAACAGGTTTGTAATGGTCTGTCTCATGAATATTCAATAAAAGTTTAAGAAAACAAAAAAGAAAAAAGAATGAAAGATTAAAAAAAAATAATAACTACGAAACACTGCAGTGTTACTGTGAACACCAGACAACAAGGTTGGATATGAAGGACACAGCTAAAGCAGAACCCAAGGGAAATGAGGTGGTGTTTGTTCTTCATACCGAAGTGGAACAATATTTATTTGCATACACACATACATAAATGAACTAATAACTAAAATAGGTGATAGAAATAAAAAAAAAAGGAAACAGACAAAACAAAAGACGAGCAGGTGAAATCAGATTCCTGATTTCACCCAGTGAGGAGGGCACCCATTGTACAGCACTGCCCTTCGTTCTGTTTGTTTTGGGGCCACACCCAGCAAAGCTCAGGGGTTACTCCTGGCTCTGCATTCAGGGATCACTCCTGAAGGGGCTTGGGGGACCGTATGTAGTGCCGGGAATTGAACCCGGGTCGGTCACATACAAGGCAAGAGCCCTTCCTGCTGTACTATGGCTCTAGCTTGACACTGCGTTATTCTACACAGGACTAAGAAAACGCGTCTCAGTGGGTTGTCACCTGGGAAGACACACCCTATTCTCAGAGAACAGCACCTGGGAAGCACAGTGAAGCGAGCAGAAGGCAGGCCTGTAACGCAAACCACATCTCATAGGCTGGGAAGACCAATACACAGGCCTCCTGGCAAAAGGTGGCTCATGGGGGCTGGAGCAATAGCACAGCGGGTAGGGTGTTTGCCTTGCACACAGCCGACCCGGGTTCAATTCCCAGGTCCCATATGGTCCCCTGAGCACCACCAGGGGTAGTTCCTGAGTGCAAAGCCAGGAGTGACCCCTGTGCATTACCGGGTGTGACCCAAGAAGCCAAAAAAAAAGTGACTCATGCAAGTTCGATTCCTCCACCCCTCTTGGAGAGCCCAGCAAGCTACCAAGAGTATCTCGCCCGCATGGCAGAGCCTGGCAAGCTCCCCGTGACGTATTCAATATGCCAAACACAGTAACAACAAAGTCTCCAATGGAGACGTTACTGGGCCCGCTCAAGCAAATCGATGAACAACGGAAGACAGTGACAGTGACATGCTAAGAGGAGAACGCCAGAGATGCCAACTTTGAAGACTATGGAGCAAACAGGACTGTGTCCCTGCACCACCAACAGGTGAAGGTCACCATCAACAGGAAACTGCTACGTAGAATTTCATCAGAAAAACAGGAAGCGAGGAAAAGGCCCAGAGCTAACAACTTCAAAAACGCAGACTGAATGGACAGTTTACCACTAAAAGTAAACTTGTCACAACGGTTTTAAAAGAATTAAAAAATCCAAATAAACAATACTGGGGGTGGGGGGGGAGAGGAATTAAAAAGTTTATCCTAAAGTTCTCTTAAAAAATCGCACTTTGAGGGGCTGGGATGATAGCATAGCGGGTAGGGCGTTTGCCTTGCATGCAGCCTGACCGGGGTTCAAGTCCCAGCATCCTATATGGTCCTCTGAGCACCACCAGGAGTAATTCCTGAGTGCATGAACCAGGAGTAACCCCTGTGCATCGCTGGGTGTGACCCAAAAAGCAAAAAAAAAAAAATAGCACTAGATCCCTGAAAATATTAGGGGTCACATCTATGAACTCTTGCTTCCTCTTGTTATTAAAATTATTTTAGATCATAGAAAGACATATTTTTTCCATAAGACAAATATAACCCTCAAACTCAAAGTGTAAGAAGACTTTTGACTATCAAATTGGCCAAGATTGACAAGAAGAAAGAAAAGGAAAGGAAAAAAATCCTTAAAAACACGCAGTATTTATATGTGGAGGGAAAACGAAATGCCGTACCCTGTTCATGAAAATACCAACTGATACAACCTTTATGGAAAGCAGCTGAAAGTATACGTGAAAAGGCTTATCACTTGGAATAAGCTTTGGCCCAATAACCACAGGGCAAGAATTTCTTGGGAGCTAAGAATGATGCGTCAGAAGTTTTTGCAGAGGGACTGAAGTTCATTGCAGAGCTAATAGCAAAAATGGAGGGACACTTCTATGTCAGTGTCAGGTTTGAGGGACGCGTTCAACGGCATGGAGTCACAGCGTGGCAGGTGACCACGTGAAGCGCTCGCGATAAACACGCATGTTTTACGTGCACCCGAACCGAGGGGAGGCCAGCTCTCGGTGGGGTGACGAGTGCCTCTCCTCCAACTCCAAGTATCCACCACATGTCTCTTCTCTAACCAGAAAATAAAACCACTAATCATTTCTGAGAACGTTGCTGGCTCGAGTCTGACAAAATGCACTCATTCCCCAACATCGAGAACAGAGGGCTGAGAGCAGGCATGAACCCCCTGCGAGAAAGGGCCCCGAGAGAGAGAGAGAGAGAGAGAGAGAGAGAGAGAGAGAGCGCGAGCAGGGGGCTTGGTCCTGTCAGTCACGTGACCCTCCAGGGCCACAGACCCGTGAAGCCCAGACGCAGACCTTCCCCGGTTGGAAAGGCGTCGCCGAGGTCCCTGTCCCTGGGAAGGAACCAGCAGTCAGGTTCAATCCCAGGACGGAATAAGCCCCGACCGCTCCCTGGGCCATCCTACTGCCTGGGGATTTCTTCCCTGGACACGCTAAAAGCTTGTACGGCACTGAGCAGGTCCAGAGAGCAAGAACGAACAGGTGGAGGGCAGTGAGCTGCGGCCTCGGGAGTCGCCTACCGAGATAGGGGATGCTGGGGACCATCTTCAGGCTGCGGATGTACTCCCGCGTCCGCTTGTAGTTGTCTTCCTTGGACATCAGGTAGTCCAGCTTCTCGAAGGTCGTCTTGTCCTTCCGGTTCAAAAGCTGTAGCAAGAGAAGAGCAGAGGGTCTGGGAGGACGAAAGGAGCAGAGGAGACGGAGGGAGGGGTCAGGGACGAGGACACAGAGGACGCCGGCGGGGCTCGTCCGTGGTCGCGCCAGCTCCTGCCAGGCCTCCAGAGGGGGCCTAGCCCCGAGGCTGTCATTTCCCAGAGCATCTGATGCTTAGAAAATAATGGGGAGACGCGTGAGCACCTCCCTGGGGTGGGGCATGGGCCAGCACCAAGCAGGAGAGGACAAATCAATGCGGTCACCCAGAGTGAATGAGCTGTGTCGCCCCCATGTCACCGGGGGCCCCAGCCCTGAGGCCCAGCTGCCAACTCCCACGCCTGCTGCCCCCAGGGCGGGGGCCTCCCTCCAACTGGGGCTGCACCCCTGACCTCTGTGTGGCCACAACCTGCCCTGGCACTGCCCCAACAAGGGGGAGAGCGGCTGGTCACCTGCAGAGCACTGCAGTCAGCCCAGGTGGGAGGAACAGGGAGCTGCTGGGGGCTGGGACCAGAGCTCAGGGCAGCAAGCCCCTCCCGACCGTCATCTCAGGCGAAGCCTGCTCTGTGGGTAAAGACGGCCCACGTGTCCCGGGGCCCCTGAGATGGAGAGAGCAGAGTCGTGGGCCAGGTTCCGGGACTGAAGCGAAGGGAACAGCTTGAGGGTTTCTCCTGCGTGTTCCCGGGCTGGCCCCAGAACCAGGCCCTGACCGGGAACTGCACAGCACGCAGCCTCGGGGAAGAGGCGTGTGGACCAGCCAGGCTGGAAAGGGGCGTCAGGATACAGCTGGGCCTGGCCAGTGTCGGGGCTGGTTAGCGGAGCCCTGTGCCTCCGGGAGATGAACATCAGGAGCATCGAGGGAGAGGGAAGGGACGCGAGGTCCCGGCGAGGACCGGACAATGGGCCAGCTCACAGCAGCGTCGCGAGTGGCAGCGTCCAGGCCCAGGCTGGCCGGCCCTGTGCACCCAAGTCCCCCTGGCCCCTGGGCAGTGTGTGAGACCAGGCACTTCCCAGGACCCGGGGTTGCAGACCCCAGCCCCACGCAGTGTCTGTTGCATCAGGAAGCCGAGTGGACCGCTGGGGGCAGAAGCTGGACTGTCAGAAGCCAACTCTCCGCCATGCGAAGACAGCGGGACCGCGGCCATGTAACCCGCCTGGCGGGTCTGTGGCTGTTGCTCGTCACGGCAGTGCCTGGTCAGGCAGGAATCTCCGCACCCACATGCTGCTCATCAGGAACCAGAACATATGGACCGTGTGATCTCCCCCAAGCCTGGTGGCAAGGGCGGAGCCGGAGCCACTGCCTCCACTTCTAGCTCCTGACCGCGAGAGGATTAAGGGGATCTGCAGAGCATCTGCAGGCAAGTCACCCTACCGGGGAGGAGCCAGGCGCCGAGCTGGGAATCAAAGAACCCAGACGGCAGCGAAGGAATCACTCCAGCCAGAGGTCGGAGACCTGGGCCACTGCAGGAAGTCACTCGGCAGACTGACCTCAGGCTAGCAGCAGTAGCCCTGGGATGGGCGGGACGGGTGGAAGCAGTGACACTGGTTGCTTCCTGCGTGGTACCCCCAAGTCACAGCCCCCCGCGTCCTATTCACAAGCAAACACACTCAGAAGGGCTTCATCTGGCCATTCACTTATCCGCTTGGTTCGCATCCGAATGGGACTCTCACACCCGGAGCTCATCAGTAACACGGAGAAGGCTCTCTGAGCGCTGAGAAGACCCAGAATCTCTAAATTCCCCTTCAGATCTGCAAACAGCCCGAGAACTTCCTCTAGCAAACAGAAGGCATAACCAAAGTGCAGGAAGGTAGGGGAGCCAGGAAATGGCAGCTCCAACCTGAGGCTAGTCAAGGGGTGACGGGGACGCCTCGGGGCTGGGGTCGAGACGCAGAGCTTAGGCCGTTCAGGCGGGAGGCCCCAGTTTCAAGCCCCAGCACCACATACGCCCCCCAACACTGCACCACCAGGGAGCAGGTAGGAACTGGACCTACAACTATTTTTTTTAAATTTAAAAAAAACATTGGGGGCTGGAGCGGTAGCACAGTGGGTAGGGCATTTGCCTTGCAAGCGGCCGACCCGGGTTCGATTCCCAGCATTCCATATGGTCCCCTGAGCACTGACAGGAGTAACTTCTGAGTGCAGAGCCAGGAGTAACCCCTGTGCATCGCCAGGTGTGACCCAAAAAGCAAAAAAAAAAATTAATAAAAATAAAAATTTAATTTTTAAAAAATTATTTTAATAAAAAAAATCAAAATTTAAAAAATACCATTTCATATCAGAATGGGAGAAACCCTACAGGATAGAGTACATGTGTTAGTTAATGAAAAATCAAGTGACACTAAGATGAATATTTAAATGTAATATACATAATATAAAATGCTGGCAATATACACACATGCATACCACACATTATCTGGCAGAAGGCAGCCAGAATCCTACACATTGGGGCTGAAGCAATAGTACAGCGGGTAGGGCATTTGCCTTGCACATGGTCGATGCGGGTTTGAGCCCCGGCATCCCATATGGTCCCCTGAGCACCATCAAGAGAGATTCCTGAGTACAGAGTCAGGAGTAACCCCTGAGCATTGCTGGGTGTGGCCCCAAATCCAAGAAAGGAAAGAAAAATAAGAATCCTACACATTCCTACAAATAAAAACCCTGGACGAAATGACTTAACGATAGCAATGTGAGAGCTTCTGGGGCACACTGCAGGGGCGGGGTGCGTTTCAGGAAAATGACAGCAGCAAGACTGACAGGCAAAGTGAGCCAACGCTGGCTGGAACACCAGGCTGAGGCCTCGCACGAGAACATGGGGCGACAGGAGGCAGCCTCAGGACACACGCAGCCCCTCTCCCCAGCCCTGGTCACCCAGAGAGCCACAGGGCTGGAGATAGGGCAGCCGAGTGGCTGCTTGACCTCACGGGAAGTCGTGATATGTCCAATGTGTGTGTAATACTGGAAAAGGTGTTTTGTGATCTAGTAGGTTCACAGATGGTTTATCGACTTATCAGACTCGGCATGTGTTAAACTTTTATGACAAGAACCATCATGCCTGAAACCATCGTGAGAATCAAGGGTCCCCTGGATCCTTTTGACGCTGAAGGAACAACCTTGGACTAACCTCTAGCTGTATCAGGTCCACACAGCGGCAGTCAATAACACGCAGAAGACCAGTGGTTGGTTTGGTTTTCTTTTGGGGGGGGGGGTGGTCACATCAAGTGATGCTCAGGGGTTACTCCTGGGTCTGCACTCAGGAATTCTATCTGACTGATGTTTATTTTTGGGGAGAACCCTATGGGATACCGGGATGGAACCTGGGTCGACCGTGCGCCAGACATCCTCCCCACTGCACTAACGCTCTGGCCCCAAGACTAGTGGTTTTCAACCCTTGTTGCTCGTTTGGTTTGGGGGCCACACCTGGCTGGGCTTAGTGCTTACTCCTGGCTCTGCGTTTGGGGATCACTCCTGGGGTCTGGGGTGCTGGGGATCGGTCCCAGGTCGGCTGTGTGCAAGGCAAACACTCTACCCACTGTACTCTCTCTCCAAACCCTGACAGCCAGCACTGGTATGGGAACTGGCAGGATGAAAGAAGAAATAAATCCCTCCCTGCAAAAGGCAAAAAAGCAAAACTATACAACAGAAGGATGGACGAAAGGGCCGCGGCCACCTATGATGCAAACTACAATTATAAGGTAGGAATCAAGTCCCTGCGCAGAGGCTTTATTAAGTCTGTGGTGCCAAGGGGCAGCTGGCTGGCCTGGAGTACGCCCACAGCCAGGAAGGGTGCTGATACTGGCCAAATACCCGGGGAAGCAAGTTTCTCTCGGAAAATTCACTCAGGATGCTCCGAGAGCCCCCCTATATTTGAGTGAAGTTATTTAAAAACAAAAACAAAAACAAAACAAAACAAAACAGAAAAACTCTCTTCTGGTAAAAGAGTTCAAAGCTGGAAGTCGTCTCTGTGAAAGGGAGAACTGAATCCCCACGTTCTCTGGAAAGCTTCTTCCCCACACGGAGGCAACGACATTTCTGGAGACGTGGAAAGCTTTTTCAAGAAAGCAATCTGCTTGCTCCAAAAACGTTAAACGCCAACTGAGAAATCCTATTTCAATTCCCGTGTCCACTGCTGGTATGGAAAGAATTTGTGTGCGCCGTGGGCCCGCTACAGGCCAACGGGTCTAACAGGTGGGGTGCGGAGTGAGAAAAAGGCGATTCTCACTCTTCAGACACAAACGGGTTTCTGAAAAGACAACGAGAGGGTCAAGTCACAGAGTTTCTATCAAAGACGACACCTGGGGCAGATGATCACAAGGAATGGGAGGGAAAACCGAAGTTCGAAACAAACGGGGGTCCTTGCTGGTCGCCCATATTTGGTTTGGTTGTGGTGGTGTGTGGGGGTGACAGCGGGGATTGAACCCGGGGCCTCGTGCACGCGGGCGAGCGCTGACCGTGAGCCACACACCCACCCTGGTCTTGCCGAGGCTACCCTCCCTCTCCTCTGACGAGTCTTCATTTGACCCCATGTGAGTCACAATCCCACCTCTTCAAGAAACGGCCCTTGAGCACGTTCCATGAGCTCCCATATGTGAACACACATCCACACGCACACTCACATATGCAACATATAAGCCTCATAGGATCCTTGTGACGTGGTTCCGCATTATTAAACGTTCTTTAGGTAATTCCAAGTCCCACCAGGCCCTAGAGTGGAGGCAGGAGAGGGGGCTGGGTTCCCAGACGGAGTCTGTCAAGAGACTGTGTCCGGCCTAAGGCTGGGCTGGGCGGGTGGGGGGGGTGTCAGGCACTCAGGTGAACCCCATTTGTCCAACCTGGCTGAGCACGGAGAAGGGTGCAGTGAGGAGAGGCGCTAGGAGAGAGCCGGCTGCTCGAATGGAAGGGAGGAGAGGAGAGGAAAGGGAGAAAGGGAAGCAAGGCCAGGAAGGGAAGGAGGGAGGGAGGGAGGGAGAGTGACAGTGTGACTCAGAAAGGAGGCCAGAGGTGGACACGTGCCACCCACGGGGCTTCCAGCCTGGCCACTGCACCGTGTGGGGGTGCAAAGCCCGTTCGCGCTTTCTCCTTTTCCAGATTCTTCAGCTCGGCTGGCAGAAGGGGTGCCAGCCCCGGGCGAGGCACCGACAGCAAGTGCGGATCAAAGCAGCAAGAACGCGCTGGCGGGGGCTGCGTCTGACAGGAAATTCCTGTGTCTCTCTGCCCAGGCCTGAGCGCCGGGGTGCGGGCAGGGGTGGCACGGGACCCGGGTCAGCGCCGCCCCCTCCAAGGCGCGGTTTCTAGGTACAGGAAGGGGGTGCGAAGGAGGCACGAAGCTGGGGGGCATCTGCTGCCTCTGAGCCTGCCTGAGAATGGTGAGGAGTAGTTCTGGGAGCACCCCACGGCAGGGAGCACTCCATGGTGGGGAGCACTCCTTGGTGAGCACTTCATGGGAGGGAGCACCTTATGGTGGGGAAATACCTCATGGGTAGAGGAGGAGGACTTGGAACACCCCATGGTGGGGAGCACTCCATGCTGGGGAGGAAGGCTGGGAGCACTCCAGGCTGGAGAAGTGGGGGAGCACTTCACGATGGGGAGGAGGATTGGGAGCACCCCGTGCTGGGGAGGGCAGGAGAACTGACCACTCCAGTGCCCCCACATCTCACAGCTCTGGGGGGCCCTAATCTCAGAGCAGCCCCAGCGCTGGTTTCCAAGGCCTGGAATGGGGGCCACGGCGGCCCTGCTGTGGTCTGCGGGGCCCAGAGCAGGGGCTCCCTCCTGCGTGTGCACCCAGCCTGCAGGGACAGGCCTTCCCTGGGGGTGCCTGCTGTGTGGGGTTGCTCCTGCCCTGTGCCCACGGGGTGTGATGGGCCTGTTGGAGTCCAGTCTGTCCCTCATGGTGCCTGTGCCCACACAGGGCTGGTTTCCCAGGCCCCGGAGCTGCCAGTGGTGCCCAGGACAGCAGCCCTGCACGCGTGTGCCCGCCTGGCATGACGTCAGGGATGCGTCCCCCTGTGCCAACCAGCACACGGGCTCCGGCGGGCTCCCAGGTGTCCCCGTGTTCTCCCCTGCCTGGGGGACCCGGTCAAAGGGACTCAGGGGCACTGGTGGCTCTTTGGGGGCAACGTCGTCACGGCCGAGGGCCCTGCTGGAAACGGACAGTGGGTGGCAGGACGGAGTGACTCAGCACCACAGACATACATGACTCAGCCGAGAGGGAGCTGAGCTCATGCGGCGGGAATGCAGGAGAGGGAGCAGCAAGTGGGGGCCCCCCGGGAGACGCAGGGGAGGGGGGGCTGGTTGGTGTGCAGCTGGGGTGCGCACGGAGGGAGAGATGGCGCCCTTGGGTGGCCCTCCCTGTTTCCCCATTTTCCAAACATTCTGCACCAACCACAACCCGGGGCTGATGGTCGGGGGCGGGTGGGTGGGGTGGGTCTCCATGGAGGACGGGAGAAGCCCTCCAGACGGGACCTCGGCAATGCCCCGTGGCGTCACCGATAAGGTACAGACCCCACACCCCACACTCGTCAGCTGTCACCGCATCATTGCCCAGGATGCAGCTTCGCAACAGCCCTGTCTGTCTCCCCATGAGGCCCCGGGGACTGTGGGCACCACCCTGGCCCTCATCCCGCAGGACACCGTGGGGAAGTTCCTCGGGGAACCGAGAGGCCCGGGTGGCACTGGGCCAGCCCTGGGTTCCAGTGTCCTCTATTGCTAACTCTGAGATTCTACAGTTGAGTGGCAGGGCAGCTCCCGGCTCCTGGCGGCCAGGCCCAGGGGCTCGGCCGGCACACAGGCCCTCAGGCCCCAGCACCCACGGAGCTCCTCGTCCAAGTTCCGACTGGGGCACTTCGATCCAAGAGGAAACCTCTCATCTGCAGTGAGTGGCCTCAACTGTCCCCGCTCAACTGGGGGATGGGGAGCGTGAGAGGCAGACCCTGGGGGGCCTGGACGTGATGTGTCACCTGCCACTGTCCCTGCCCTCACTCCTTGCCTGGCAGGAAGGAGGCCCCGGGGGACCCTGCTTCACCCGTCATGTCCACAGGAAGGTGCCCGTGGCCTGGACGGGGGCTGGGAGGCTGCGTGTGTACCTGGGGGCCCGGGGCCTGTCTGAGTCCAGGCTCCCTGAGGAGCTATGGAAGGTCCATTTGCACTGTGGAAGACCCCAACAGGGACAGCCACTTGCCCGCCCTGGGTGACACTGGGCCTGGTCATGCCCAGTGGACACTGACTTCCCGCGGTGCTGCCCAGTGTCCCTGCTGGGGAACCGTGCCCTGAAGCTGCCTGCCCCCGGGGAAGGGGGTCACCACACTGCCCCGAACCTGCAGCCGCTGCAGCCCGTAGCTGGACGCCTACCCCCGCGCCCGAGGGGAGATGGGAGCCCCTGAATGACCCGCGATCCCCGGGCCCAATCATGCGCATGAGGGTCCTGCCTCCCCCTCCAGCCCGAAGGAGCTCCCCGGGTGCAGGAAACGAGAACAGCATCAACATGCTGGAAAATCCGCTGGAGACAGACTCCCCGGGCCATCTGGCAGGGAGCCGGGGCTGCTTCAGATGCCAGGCTTGTCCACACCGGGTCCCGATCCCCCAGAGAACAGCACACGCCACCCAAGCACAGCCGACGGGTCGGGGGGAGGCAATGGGGCTCGTGCTAGGCACCTCCCTCCAAGAATGACAGACAGACAGTTGTGCAGAGGCCAGTCTCCGGGGGACGGCCACCACAGAGGCTGCACTCCCAGCGGTGGCCCAGCTGGACTGGTGGCACTCTGGCTCTGGGCTGGCTCGGGTCACTTGGGTCACCCCACCTGCTGGGCCCAGGAGGGGCGGAAGACAGCAGCAGCGCCAAGGACCAGGCTGGCCCTGGCTCCCTCCACCACCCTGACCTGTCTGGGAGCCCGTGGGCGGCAGAGACAGCTGGGAAAGCAGAGTGGAAGCTTCCGGGGTGACAGGCTTATGCTGGGGTGTCCTGGGAGCAGCAGCCCCCCCCCCCCACACACACACAATCAGGCACGGCGCCAAGCTGAGAGGATGCAGAGGCCTAAGGTCTTCTGAAAGCATTTTTACAGCAGGGAAACTTTCCTCGACTCAGTTACATAACAAGCCGACTCCACCTCTGAGCTGGCCTTCAGGAGGAGGAAAAAAAAAATTCCATTTTCTTCCACGCGAGTCACGCACGGGCTTTCCTAGGCGGCACAGTTCACTGTCCAGGGACAATGTCCACCGGCAGCCAGGTGGACAGCAGCGGCCTGGCCACAGACCCCACCTGAGCTCACACACAAGCCACGGGAGGGGCGTGACCCAGCCACAGCAGCAGAGCCCCGTTCCTAGCCTGTCTCCAAGGGCCCGCAGTCCCTGGAGCAGCGGCGCTCTCCTAGGAATCTGCGTTTTCGGTTTAGTCTGTAGGCCACAGCTGGCGAGGCTCAGGGGCCACTCCTGGCTCTGTGCTCAGGAATGACTCCTGATGGTGCTCTGGGGACCATGTGGGATGCCGGGCATCAAACCCATGTCTGTCAGTGTGCAAAGAAGATGCCCTCCCCGCAGCGCTACGGTGCTGGCCTCCTTCCTCCCTGGGAATTTCTGATCAGGCTGCAGTTGCCGGGCACTGGCAGGAGGCTCAGGCCGAGAGCCACCCCCGGGGTTTAGGGGACAAGGGGCTTCTGGGGCGGGTGGTGTGTGGGGGAGCCACGATCTGAAGGGTGAACTTACAGCCCAGGTCTTTGTCAGCCGGAAGATGGGTGCACTTTGTAACGCTGACACCACAGACATGAGAGAGTGAAGGTTGTTGAGTTCTAGAAGTTTCTGGGAGACAAAAAAAAAGAGAGAGAGAGACAAGAGAAAAAGACATGGAATCGATTAGTTGGCTGCTGCAAACAAAAACAGACTGAAGCGTTACCAAATGTTGTCATATTTATGAAATGCAATTACGCTTAAAAATATCTCGCGTAGAAAACAACAGTTCGAGGAGGTTCATGGGAACCAGATGCTCCTCTTGCAAACGCCAAAGGTGAGTCCGGGGTTGAACCCTCCGCCAAATGCCTGAGATTGGCACACCTGATGGCCGGACGAGAAGGTAACGACCCTTGAGGTTCCTTCTTCAGAAGCATCTAGACTGTTCCAGAAGGCGCTGGTGGCCTTCGCTGAGCCAACAGCCGGGCTGCAGGTCTCCTGGGACCCTGGCATGTCCCCACTTCCGGGGGAGCCGCTGAGGCCCCCAGCATGGTCAGCCGCTCCCCAGGGCTGTGTCCCCGCCCCTGACTGTGCTGCCCTTGACCAGACCCCCAGTCGGTGCGAGCATGTGGCTTCAATTCCGGCTCAGACAAGCTCCTTCCCACGGAGGCTGCGGAAGGGGACTCGGCGGGACGCGTGGCAAACGCTCTCGCTCTGGGCTCCGCGGGCTCCCGCCTCAGCTGAGAAGCAGCGGCAGGTGGGGGTTCACGCGCGGGGTCTCCCCCAGAATCAAGGGCTCCCCCAAACACACACACACACACACACACACACACACACACACACACACACACTGCAGCCTGAGCCTCGAGGTCTGGGTGCAGGAAACAAGGAAGGGACCCAGGCCCCATCAGATGCCAGGTGGTGCAGGAAGCCGGGGCGATGGGTCCCCCCGTTCCCCAGGACCCTTCCGCCCCATCTAGGTGCTCCTGACCCGCATCTGTGTACCCACAATGTTGTTGAGTCACACCTGGCAATGCTCAGGGCTGACTCCTGGCTCTGTGCTCGGGGCTCACTCCTGGCAGTGCCGGGAATCGAACCCAAGCTGGTGGCAAGCAAGGCCAGCGCCCTCCCCTCTGCACCATCTCTCCCACCCCAGTCCAGTTTTTGGTTTTGTTGTGGTTTCTGGAACACCCCCCCGGTGGTGCTCAGGGCTGACTCCTGGCTCCGCACCCAAGCCAGGCTCCTGGAACCATATGGGATGTGGGGGGTCGAACCCGGGTCAGCTGTGTGCAAGATAAACGCCCTCCCTGCCATATGATCACTCCGGCCCCAACAGGGCTGTGCGTCTCCTGCACTCTGACGGTTTCACTGGCCCCCTCTCACCTGGCCCTCTCACCTGGCCCGATGTACTGACGGCGGGTGCAGTCTCCCCATCACCCCCTTTGCCCCGAGTCCCCCTCTCAGGCCCTGCTGGGGAGGACAGCCAAGTCCTGGCCCCACCCGGCTGGGCCCCTCAGCACCTCCTCCCGTGTGGTCCATGGGAGAGGGCCCAGAGCCACGGGGGCAGGGTGGGGCACTGAGGGCAGGAGGGCAGTGGGCTGGGCCAAGAGCACATCAGGGCACAGCCCCTCCCCCCACTCTCCACCTGAGCCCCCCCAGCAAGCCCAGAGCCAACCCCCCCCCACAAGGTACTGAGAAGAAAAGAGGGAGGGAGGGAGGGAGGGAGGCAGGGAGGGAAGGAGGGAAAGATGGAGGGAGGGATGATGGAGGGAGCGAGGGGGGAAGGAGGGAGGGAGGGAGGGAACGAAGGATGGACGAAGGGAGGGAGGGAAGGATGGAGGGAAGGAGGGAGGGAGGGAGGGAAGGACAGAGGGAGGAAAAAGGGAGTGAAGGAAGGAGATAGGGAGGGCAGGGAGGAGGGAGGGAGGGAGGGAGGGAGGGGAGTGCTTACCTTGGCTATTTTCACAAAATGGCTCAGGATTTCTGCCCTTATTTTTAAAGTCTGTGCTGTCAGAATTTCTCGAACAACCCAAAAACTGACCTGTGGGGTGAAACACAGCAGAAAAGCTGTTACACAGGGAAGATGGAGGGAGCGAGGGGGGGAAGGATGGAGGGAGGGAGGGAACGAAGGATGGACGAAGAGAGGGAGGGTCCACAGGCACCAACACCCGTGATGTGCCCTGATGCCCAGAGGCGGGGAAATAGGGAGGTGCAGACTGGGGAGGAGGCTGAGGGTCCCCAGGCCACCAGCCCCGTGAGTGGGACTCTGTGTCCGGTGCCCTGAGAGCATGCTTGGCCAGGAGACCCCCGAAAGGGGCCTCAGGAAGTCCTGGGAGGAGCCGACGCCTTGGGCTGGGACCCCAGGGATGGTGGGAGTTGGGGAGGATCGGCCAAGAGGGCAGGGACGGGCTCTGGGGTCCAGCCAGGGTCACTCGGGTCATCCGACCAGCTGCCAGACACACATGAGGCGGGCTGGGCCCAGGCAAGGCCACACGGCAGCCGTGCTTGGGGGAGGGACTCAGCTGTCGTGCACCCATCAGCGGTCCCCCAGGGCTGCAGGCTGAGAGGCTGTGTCTCTGGGCCCACAGCGCTCCTTGCACACCCGGACCCCCACCTTGACGCACATGTCCGTCAAGATCTGGGGGAAGGGGTGGGCACAAGAAGTTCATGGACCACGCAGGGCCTCTCCTGTGACACAGAAGGGCCCCAGAGAGAGGCTGAAGGTGGAGGCCCCCCCCCAGCTTCTACTTAAGTGTCCCGGGGTGCTTCAAAGGAAGGGGCGGGGAGCAGGGCCGTGCGCTAGAGGAAGGGTGCTCAGGGCTGACCGCTGGCTCTGCACTCAGGCTGGGCTCCAGGGACCACATGGGATGCCGGGGATCGAACCCGGGTCAGCCGCATGCAAGGCAAGTGCCCGCTGTGCGTTACGATCGCTCCTGAGGCCTCCGGATTGGTTTACAACCACTTCCCCCCCATCCCATACCCCCTCCCCCCCCCCGCCCCGCCACCTCCCACGCCAGCAGTTCTGGGGGGCTCGGGCCACTCCCAGCGACAACTTGCCCCAGGGCTGAGTCCCGAGCTTGGACCAGGTCGTGCTCAGAAGCCACCGAGGCTCCATCCGGAAATGCTTTGGGGCTGCACGTGGCAAAAGTTCACAGACCGAAAACTCAGGACCTCGGGGTGCAACGCGGGGTGTGACCCGGCCGCGCTGTCTCCCTAGTCCGCACACCTCAACCGAACGGAGGGGAATAGCGAGGGAGAGGCCGGAGGTGACCGGAAGTGGCTCCGCGCCACCCACTGTCCTCGCCCGCCCGGGCTTCTGCCACTTCTCAACAACTACTTCTCTAAACAACTACTCCATCGCGGCAAAACTCATAAATCGTTAAAACTGATCTAAAATACACGATGAAAGGTGGGGTTGCCCCCCCACCCCCGCCTGTGACTTCCCTCTACCACTACCACTTTTTGGCGAATCAACAAAGGACAAGCTGGAGCGATAGCACAGCGGGTAGGGCGTTTGCCTTGCACGCTGCCGACCCAAGTCGACCCGGGTGCGATCCCCAGCATCCCATATGGTCCCCCAAGCACCTCCAGGGGTAATTCCTGAGTGCAGAGCCAGGAGGAACCCTTGTGCATCACCGGCTGTGACCCAAAAAGCCAAAAACAAACAAACAAACAAAAAAAACAAAGGACAAGCAGGCGGGGACAGGGTCTGCTCCTGTTCGCGGCCGGGAATACTACAGAGATGTTTCCTCAGCGCCGTCACGGGCGGCTTAAGGAAACGTCCCAGGCCGCCTGCGTTTCCACGGGATCATTTTTTCCGAGGCCGGGCCTCAAATTAAGGTCAGATTCTAGTGTTTACTAGCCAGTAAAAGAAAGGCTTCCTGGATACCCAGCGGCATACCCGCACTTTGGGTTCTAATAATGCACATTGTAACGGGCAAGTCATCCCAGATGGGACCGGTTACTGTATCAGATTTAACACGCTGCCCCGGGCCAAACAAACCCACATTTCAGGCACAAGCGCTGGCCGTGTCATCGGCCTGGCCCCGGCACCTCCTGCAGCCGGTCCTGGGTGTGAGCTCAGGCACCATGTGAACTGACCCGGGGCGGGGTGGGGAAAACACAGCGGCAGAACCTTCCAGAAAGTTCCAGAACAGCAGCTGGCCGTGGTGCTCGGCCCCAGACATTCAAATCATGTAAGGGAGGGCCAGAGTGGTAGCCCAGTGGGTAGGGCACCAAGGCACCGCACATGCCTAGGTCTGATCCACAGCACCCCATAGGGTCCCCCGAGTCTCACCAGGAGTGAGCCCTGAGCACTGAGCCAGGAGTGAGGCCTGAGCACCGCAGGTGTGGCCCCCAATCCAGAAACAATGGCAACTGCAGGGGAAGGAATGAGGGAAGAAGGGCTCCCACTGCAGGAGGGGGGCCTAGGAACGTTGGGGGTGGGGGCTTTCCAGGGGGCGCCCAGGACTGAGCCTGACACACTGCCGTGCTGGGTGCTGTGGGTGGGGGAAGGGGTACCGTGGCCACAAAAGAGGAGAGGAGATGCCCTTCTCCCAGGGGCAGGGGGGTTGTTCTAGAACCTTCTGCACTTCGGAGAGACGGGGCGGATGCCTTCTTAGGGCCAGGGACATGACAGTCGCGAGCAGGGCCATGGTGAAGACGGAAAGGAGAGACATTGCAGAGGAAGAAGCAACAGTTTAAACGTGTAAGGGGGGCTAGGGCCACTCAGCCCCCCTCTCCCCGCACCCCAAGCTGTGCTGCTCGGACACAGCAGGACCGGGGGGTCCCCAGGACCACCCCTCGGAGTGCGGGAGCCAGCCAAGCAGCCCAAGGACGGACCGTGAGCAAGTGTCCCCCTTTCCCGTTACCCCGAAGGGGGCCGAGTCGCCCCGGCCCCTTCAACATCTTTCCTTCTCTCTCCCAACCACAGAACCTAAGGTTGGCTCAAGGCAGAGGACGGGCAGGCGGAGGCCTACACAGAACGCGCCAGGCTCTCGCGCAGTGGAGGCCTGGCCTCTTCGCCGTCAGAGGACACGCGTTCGCCGTTTCCAGCTCACTGACGGGAACATCTTCTAGGGCACGATCAGAACATAAGGCGCCCCGGTTGCTGGAGAGGGCGTTGCTATTGCTTTGTGTTACCAAACACCGCTGAGTTGTTAATAACAACGCACCCCCTAGATACAGTAAGACCTTAGGATAAACCCCGTTAGTTTGAGTGAAAGTGTGGGTGCTGACCTGTCGCTTGTTTGGGGGCCACACCCGGCGGAGCTCAGGGCGGGCTCACTCCTGACTCAAAGCTCAGGGATCCTCAAAGCTCAAAGCTCCTGGTGGGACTTGGGGGCTTTAGGGGGTACTGGGGAATCGAACCCAGGTTGGTCACCGGCAAGGCAAGCACCTAACCCACTGCACTATCGCTCCAGCCCTGATTTTCAAATATACACACGGACACACATACACATAAGCTCAGATTCCCACAGGTCTTTCTCCACCAGCAGGTCTGAGGAGCAACCTGTCACCTTCCCCTTCACGCCGGCTAAAATTCTAATTCTTCTCTCATCTAACCCAAAGGACAAGACATTTCTCTGTTCCTGTAACGCTTCGCTCCAGCTCCTGTTCGTTGTTACGGGTGCTTACGGGCCTTCTGTGCTGCTGGGCTCGTGCAAAAGCCCGGCAGGTCCATCAGGTGGGGGCCCTTCCTACTGAGGCGTCTGTCTGTCAGCTGTCTCTGCTGGCTGGAAAGGGGTGCGTCAAGGGAGATGCAGGGGCCCCCTCGGATGGCACGTGCGTTCGCTCCTTCGGGGTTTTATCTGCGTTCTGAACAGGGCTGCAGGGAACCCAACTAAGTCTGAGTTACAGTCCGGCTGCCGCTCACAGAACTCCCGGGTGTGCCTGTTCCCCAGGTGGTCACGGGTGCCGGCTGCTCCCTGCTCCAGCTGTCGGCAGCACGCCAGGCCTGCACCCCTGCTCCCTCCGGCCCTGGGCTGTTTCCTTATCACTGTTTAGGATATTTGGGGGCTTGGGTGGTGCCCCCTGGGCTGCTCTGCACATAGGAGCCCTGGGGTCAGCCCTGGGACACAGGGTCCCCCCCAAGCGCTGAGCCAGGAGCAGCGTCCCCAGGGCCACTAGTCTGTGCTTCCGTCTTGTGAGTCTCTCGACGGTATCTTTTTGGAGAGCAGAAAACCTTAATCAAACTCCACTTATCATTCTGGTTTTGTTTTTCTTAATCCATGGATTTTACATTTGGTGCTATAATAAATTGTTGCCCAAAAATCGTGTAGATTTTCTTCTGTGCGCTCTCGTTTGGTGGTTTCTAATATCGAGGTCCATTTGAATTCATTTTTCACCAAAGGTATAGTCTAAAGTCCCCAACCTGGGCCAGAGTGACAGCACAGAGGGCGAGGTGCCCACCTTGCATGCGGTTACCCAGGGATCAACCCCAGCACCCCATATGGCCCCCTGAGCCCCGCCAGGAGTGATGTCCTGAGCTCAATGACAGGAGTAAGCCCAGAGCACTGCCGGGTGTGGTCCAAAATTTAATTTAAAAAATACAAAAAACATTTAAAGGCTCCAGCCCATGAGCCATCCCCCTCCAAGCCCTCAATAAATACTTTTATAACGAGCCCAATGTCCAGCGGCCAGGGGGACCCCGCCGACCAGGCTGGCAGCAGAGCAAGTCTGTTTGCAGTGGACGGGACAGACAGCACCGGAAGGGGCAGCTCCCCACAGGCCGGGGACCCGGGTGGACACCTGTGCTGCCCTCTCGACTACTTCCTGTCCGAGAGCCCATGTCCCCTGAGGGACTCTCCTCAGAGCCCTTGGGGACTGTCGCCATGAGTCAAGAGAAGGATTCTTGCATCCTCAGGGGGAAACCCGGGGAGCCCGAGAGAAGGGGCCCTGTACCCCCGAGAGGAAGCGAAGCTCCTGGCCACGCAGGAGGGTCAGGCTAGCACTAAGGTCTCCCGAGGCCGCTGACTCTGTCCCCTGCTACTTCCGTGTCCGTGGACCAACCCCCACCCCCATGAACCTGGTCCCGGGCTCTCGGCCACCAGCCCCCACTTATCCGCAGAACCCTTTTATTTATTTGCCACACCCAGGGTTGCTCAAGGGTTCAATCAGTCCTGGGGGTGGTCGGGGGTCAGCGGAGCCGAGGGCTGCAGGCCCTATCTTCTGGACTGTCTCCCCAGCCCTGGCGCCTTTTTTTAAATTTCACTTCGGTTTAAGGGCCACACTCAGCTGTGCTCAGGGCTTCTTTCTGGCTCTGCACTCAGGGATCACTCTTGGTGAGCTTGGGGGATCACATGGGGTGCCAGGGATCAACCTCAGGTTGCTGTATCAAGGCCCTACCCACTGGACTACCGCTCTGGCCCCTTGGTGTCCTTTTGAAAGCTGCAGGTTGATTTACAAAGCAAGGGCCCCGCTAAACCCTTCAGATCCCTGGTTCTCAGTTCACCTTCAGAAGCCTGAGTGATTTTCCCCCATTTATTTATTTTTTTGGTTTTTTTTTTTTGGCGGGGGGGGGGAGTCATACCCAGCGGTGCTCAGGGCTCACTCCCAGCTCTGCACTCAAGAATCAGTCCTGGCACGGCTCAGGATGCCGGGGATCGAACCTGGACTGGCTAGATGCCAAGCCAGAGCCCACCGCCACTGTGCTATCTCTCTGGCCCCGGATTTTCCCTCTTTTCTAAATAAAGAAGGTGAGAGGTCACGGACAGGCCCAGATCAAACAGCTCAAGAGTGGGGCGCTGAGAGTCACAGCAGGCCAGCCAGATTCCCTGGTGCCCACAAACCACCAGTGTCCACATCCAAACGGAGGGGTCATGTGAGCCCACTGAAATGGAACACATGCACGGGTCTGTGTAAATTTCCGATACGCACATACCACTTCCGGGCTCCACGGTGACCCGGGGCAGAGGCCAAGGCCTGGCCAGCCCCTCCCCCAGCAAACCCCTGGGGCTGACCGACGCCCCGGCATTTCTAGTTTGATTCCAAGGAGCGCTGGCAACCGCCCTGCACACATGTGATCTTCACATTCCCCTCGCTTGGCCCAACGATGTCCCCCGCGCCGTAGGGAGCTCTGGCCTCACGGCGGGAACTGCTTGGGCTCCCGCTGACGGTGGCTTGGGGAGGGCGAGAGGGAGCCTGGCGCCCTGGGAGGGGATCCCGTCAGATCTGGGGCCGTGTCCAGGGCCGCCGGCACCCAGGACGGGCCCGCTGGAGAACACTGCCCGGGGCCTCCTGTTTGAGACAATCCGACTCCCTTCTGGCTCCTGGCGGGCGCATGGCCCACAGCTGGACGTGATGCAGTTGTTTGCGGACACGCCAGGCTGCCCCGCGCCAAACTGGCCTGGCCTCTGGGTGCAGAGCCCGTGACATCAGCACCCGCGGCCGGCCTGGCTCTGCGGCGAGCTGGCGTGCCGTCAAGCTGTTCCGCTTAGGAAACGATGAATCCCCTGACGGGGTGAGCGCATCTGCTCTGGTTTTTGTCTTTTCTCTTCTTTTTATTTAAAGATTCAGCTCAGCTGAAAAGGAAACACTTAAAAAAGAAGGGGGGGGGGGGGGTTTAGAGCGTTTGTTTGTTCAAAACACCTGGGGTGCAGTTCACGCTGGACACACAGCCGGCCATTTGCACCTGGAGTATTTGGAGACAATGAGGGGGCTCACGGCAGCCTGGACCACCAAGCCAGGGCCTCTCGGGGGGGCTCCCCCAGCCCTGGAAGGGCCATGCAGAAATCGCCCATGGTCCAGTGTCTCTGGGCAGAAGGCGTCACTGGACCAAAAATCCACAGGGAACCCGGCCCCCCAGAGCTCCCCCCAACTCCACAAGCCCCCCCCGCCCACTTCTCAGACCTCATCGGAAACACAGAACAAAAGTTATCCAAACGCCAGTCGGCTATGTCCCAAGGCTCTCGTTCTGGAAGGCCTGGCTGGGAATGACTAAAGAGCTGTGCTCCTTCTGCAGGGCCCAGTCCCGACTCCCACCCCCCAGAAAGTGGGAGCGGAGTTTCCTGTGGGAGGTAAGGTTTGGGCTAGACCAAGCCAGCTCAGAGCTGACTGCATGGTGGTGGGGGGGGGGGGGAGGGGTCATTGGCCCAGCCACAAGGACTCGAGAAATCTCTAAAAGCACTTCCTGAGCACCCTGTCTATGCACTGCTACAGGTATGGCTGCAAGAGCCCCTCCCCGCACGTCTGGAGTCGGGGGGACACAGTGACAACCAAGCCAGACCCAGAATCCTCCCTCAAAGGGTGCACAGGCCAGCAGGAAGATGGAACCTGGAGAATCTTATAAAATGAGGAACAGAGGAGCCAGAGAGACAGCACAGCGGGGAGGGCACTTGCAGTGCACGTGGCCAACCCCGGTTCGATCCCTGGCATCCCCTCTGGTCCCCGAGTCCATCAGGAATAACTCCTGAGCACAGAGCCAGGAGTAACCCCTAAGCATCACCAAGTGTAGCCCCACCCATCCCTCCCCCCCCCAAAAAAAGACAAACGGAGGATGGAGGCCAGGAAAGGATCACATGGAGAAACAGGGAGACCTTATCCGATGGGGGCTGGGGTGGGGACTCCCCGAGAAGGGACACGAAGGCTGAGATCCGCGCAGGAGCTGAAGCAGGAGAAAGGATTCTGGGAGCACAGTTGGGGGCCTGACGGGACAGAAACACAGAAACGGGGTGCGAGGAGAGAGGAGGGAGGCCAGGAGGGGGGCAGTGGAAAGGGGGACAGAGGTGGCACAGGAGCAGACCCACCACGGACTTCCCTGAGTGGGCAGGGGCAGGGCTCAGGGAGATGGGCCCAGGAGGGGGCTATCTGGAGGGACCGCTGATGGGGGACGGGGGAATCTCTCTGCAGGAAACGGCGGGTAGCCCAGTGAAGGGGCGTGTGCAGGGTGGCACTTACCTGGTTAAACCTCCGGGTGAAGGCCACGACGTTGGGGGCGAGGCTATGCTTCTCCTTCTTACTCCACCCACAGCTGGCTAGCTCCTAGGAAGCAGAGAGACCATTTCAACAGTGGCTGAGGTTCTAGCCGGGGTGCAGAACCTTCAGGGTGCTGGGCGGGGGGCCCACCCAGCCTCTGCCCTAGGCAGCCCACGCCCTCGGGACCTCTGCCTGCTGCTCCACCTGCCAGGTACCGAGAGCAACTCCCAGCCCGACCCTTCAGTCTCCCAGAGGATCCAGCTCCCAGGACGCGCCCTCTCGGGAGTAGGCGACCTCCCCCCATCTCCCCGCGCTTCGGGTAGCCTGGCAGTCACGCCCACGAACTGCCTCCGGCGCCATCTAAGCTCATGAACGGCCACGATCCAGAGACTCGCAAGTAAACCTGGGAAGAGGAAGAGAGCAACACGCCGCAGAGATGCCTCGGGACCCCAAAGTCACCATCCAGTTGAAAATTTAATTCCTGCTCAATCACCCTGCTTAAAAATCTTAGAATTTCTGGAGTATGCGGCTGTGTATCACCTTCTACTCCATACAAGGGCTTGAGGGCTTCAGGACGATACAACAATCTTCACACACTTTCAGGAAACTTTTTTTGATCATTTTTAGCAGATTATCTGTCACTGTCTCCCATTGTTCATTGATTTGCTCGAGTGGGCCCAGTAACGTCTCCATTGTGAGACTTCTTGTTACTGTGTTTGGCTTATGGAAGATGTCACGGGGAGCTTGCCGGGCTTTGCCCTGCAGGCGAGATACTCTCGGTAGCTTGCCAGGCTCTCAGAGAGGGGTGGAGGAATCGAACCCAGGTTGGCCCAGTCGGCCGTGTGCAAGGCAAACGCCCTACCCACTGTGCTATCGCTCCAGCAGATTATCATAACAAACAATGCAAAATAAATTATTTAGGCCCTGCTTTGGGGGCAGGCTTTGGGGCTTGGGGTGGAATCACTCAAAATATGGTGGTGGGAAGGTGTCATGGTGATGGGGTTGGTGTTGGGATACTGAATGTAATCCATTATTGTGAACTGTCATCTGTCACTGTTCTCTCATCTTTTTTACATCCATAAATATTTTTACCATTTTACTTATTAATGAGGACATTGAAGCAGTATATAATATTTTCTAATATAAATCAATATTCCCTTTCTTAGGATAAACACAGTACTTTTTTTTTTTTTGCTTTTTGGGTCACACCCGGCGATGCACAGGGGTTCCTCCTGGCTCTGCACTCAGGAGTTACTCCTGGCAGTGCCCAGGGGACCATATGGGATGCTGGGAATCGAACCCGGGTCGGCCGCGTGCAAGGCAAACGCCCTACCCGCTGTGCTATTGCTCCAGCCCCAACACAGTACTTTTTACAGGCCTATTCACCTATTCAGATTTTCCCCTTTCAATCATCTTAATGATTTTCACTCTTACTAACTTCTAAATTTGGGGGCGAAGCAACAGTACAGCAGGTAGTGTGTTTGCCTTGCATGTGGCTGACCTAGGTTTGATCTCCAGCATCACTTATGGGCCCCCAAGTACTGCCAGGAGTAGCTTGCCAGGCTCTGCCGTGCGGGTCAAAGTCATCAGAACAGAAGATTTTGCCTATCAAATGATCCTTCCTGGGGAAGGGGGTTGGGAAGCTGACGGGTGGATGTCGGGATGGTGGGATGGTGTATGCAGGAGAACTGCGATTACCACCATTGTCAGTCCTGGTATCTCAATAAAAATAGTTTTGCAAACAGAATGTGGACACGAAGCAGGGAGACATAAGCCCAAGCTCCCATCTTCTCCAGCGTGGGGGGGGCGTGTTGTGTAAGTGTGGGGGGCCACTCCGGGACCCGAGACTAGTGCTGGGGTGGGGGTCTCTTCCCCACCACCACAGCCACGTTGCCTTTCAGGAGGGGGGACAGCCTGGGTCACACCCAGAGGCACTAAGGGTTTACTCCTGGCTCTGTGTTCGGGGATCACTCCTGGCAGGCTGGGGGGACCCTACGGGTGCTGGGGATCGAACCCAAGTGTGCTGTGTGCAAGGCAAGTGCCAGCTGTACTATATCTTCAACCCCAATTTTTTTTTTTTTTTTTTTTGCTTTTTGGGTCACACCTGGCGATGCACAGGACTTACTCCTGGCTCTGCACTCAGGAATCACCCCTGGCGGTGCTCAGGGGACCTTATGGGATGCTGGGAATCGAACTCAGGTTGGCCGCGTGCAAGGCAAACGCCCTACCCGCTGTGCTATTGCTCCAGCCTCCCCAATTTCTTTTTAATCCCTGGCCCACCCCCACCGCCACCAAGCCAGGATGGAGCTGGGTCAGCCAAGCGCCCCTTGGGGAGAACTCCTGAGGTGCACACGGCCATTCTGCCCAGCGATCTGCCCAGCCCAGGTCAGGAGTCCCTCTCAGAGGGGAACACAAGCTTCTAAGTCTCAGGGCCCAGCCCAGCCCCCACCCATCCTCCCCCAGAGAGGTGGCTGTGGGGGCGGGTGGGGGGGGTGGGCAGGATAATTTAAAATTAAAATCGGACTCAAGCAGCTCCGATTTCACGGGCCACCTGACAGATGGCTCCAGCTCGGAGCCAGGAATGTCCCAGCGCAAAGCCAGCTGCAATCAGAGCCTCCAGGGTTAGCTCAGATCATCTTCCTGAGGTCGCCCCTCCCGGCCCCGCAGGGGGATGGGGAAATGGGGGGGATGGGGGGATGGGGGGCCTCATCTCGGCTTTCCCTTGTAGCTTCCACTGCAACCTCACAATCCAGCTGCCACAACTCATACAGAGAATAACTCTAGGAGCAAGAGAGGGATCATCGGGTGAATGATCCAAATGCAACGTCCTCAGCCCATGCCCTGGGGCGGGGGGGGGGGTGGGGGGGGGGCTGACACAGCTCCGGAGGCAGAGGGGGCTGCTCTAAGCGCTCCGCCCGGGAGCTGCAAGGCCTCCCTTTGATCCGGTGGAACTCAGCACTGCTGGTAACCGGTGTGACTCTCTGGTCACACACGCGGAACTCTCGTCAGGTCTTCGGAGAGAGTGAGTGGGCTGCCCGCCAGCTGGGAGAGATGCAGACTGGGGTCTACTGGACAGTCGGGGAGGGCAGGATTGGCGGGCGGTCATGCCTAAGACGCAGGCGTCGGCGTCCTGAAGGGCCCTTCGGCCCTGCTCCGAGGTCCGCGAGTGTCTCTGAGATTCGGAAGTTCCCTCTGCGTTCCCGCCACCTCCTCCTCCCCCGACCCTGACCCCATGTGTCCGTCTCTTCTCTAACCCGTATCAAACTGGCCGAGTTTTCGTCCCACCTGCCCGCGCTTTACAGCACACACCTGAAGAATGACTTCGTGAGCGTCTGGAGGCACGCTCAACCTGAGCTAAATCCTGGCCCCTCCGTTCTCCGTTTAAACGGGTGTGGACGATGGTTCCCTTCCCTTGCGGGCCCCAAAGCCTATCCTACAGAGGAAGGGGCTCCGATCAACAGGGGTCGGGGGAGCTCAAAGGGCTGGAGCATTGTGTTTCGTAAGCAGGAGGTCTGGGTTCGATCCCCAGCAGTGCGCGGTCCCCCTCCCCCCCCCCGCCCCCAGCACCACCAGGAGTGACCCCTGAGCATCACCAGATGTGACTGAGAACAAAAGGAAGGGAAAGAATGGAGAGGAGGAAGGGAGGAGGGAGGAGGAGAAGGAGCAGAAGGAAGGGAGGAGAGGAGGAGGAGGAGGAGGAGGAGGAGAGGAGGAAGGAGAGGAGAAACGGGTGACACTGTTGATGTTCGCTCAATTTTTGGCAATTTTTGCTCCTTTGGCTATTTTCCTGATTTGAGGTGAGAGGGGGAAGCCATTTGGGCCGTATCCAACTGTGCTTGGGGACTACTCCTGGCTCCGTGCTCGGGAGAGAGTCGCAGAGGTGCTCAGGGGACCCTAAGAGATACCAGGGATCAAACCGGGGTCGGCCCCAGGCAAGGCAAGCACCCTACCCACCCCACTGCACCATCTTCCCGGCCCCCTGATTCTGTAGTGAGCAGCAGGGTGACGCCACACGATTACGTGGAGCCCGTGCTCTTCTTTCACCCTGCAAGGCAGTGAGTGGAGCGCACTTTCCGGCTGGACCACCCTGGCCCTCCAAACCCCCATCCCTGACCCTCCTCCCACTGGCCAAGCGACGCTCAGCTCCTGGAAAGCCCCGTTTCCCTGTCCTGTGGAGGGCAGGATGCCTGGTTTCTCCAGAGCTCATGACTGCGGTGAAACAAGATGCAAACACGCGGGATGGGTCACACCCAGAGGTGCTCATGGCGGGGTGGGGGGGTGGGGCCACCCGTGCGCAGCGAGCACTTGCCGAGAGGAACCAAAGCGAGGCCTTGAGACCCGTCAGGAGTCCAATGGTGGTGAACGCCCGGAAGTCCCAACCCAGAAGGGGTCCATGCCGTTAAGTGGATGCGCCAGACCCTCCCCTGCAGGCCTGTCGCATCCGAAATCAAGACTCCAGGGGCTGGAGTGAATAGCACAGCTGGTAGGGCGTTTGCCTTGCACACGGCCCCACCCGGGGTTCGATTCCCAGCATTCCGTATGGTCAGGAGTAATTCCTGTGTGCATGAACCAGGAGTAACCCCTGTGCATCGCTGGGTGTGACCCAAAAAAGAAAAAAAAAAAGACTCCAACATCGGCTGGAGAGTTCCCTGAGGAGACTGAGGAAGCTGAGGAGACCGCGCAGTGCCCGGCTCGGACCCGCAGCCCTGTCACTCCATCAGCTGCAGGTCCCTGTGAGGAGGGACGGGTGGCTCCCAGGAACTGCGCCGGGGACCAGAAGCTACAGCTGGGTGGGGGGCGGTGCACGGGGCCCAGGCACATAGAGACGCCGGGAACTCAGTCCGCGCTCCCCCACGGAACAGGACGGGGGCTGGACCGGGCCCTGGGCTCCTCCTCCCTGTGCTGGCCTGACAGGATTACAAGAGATTCCATCTGGGTGAGGTGGGTTTGGAAAAAGTGAAGCAACCGAACAAAACTCTTCCAGTGGCCGATGCCTAAAAAGGGGCCGAGCTCGGAGCTGATCTGGCTGTAATTAAGATCCAGGGGGCGGGGAGGGGGCCGGGGCC